AGGTTGATCATGTCTATCTCATAAGATTGTTATAGGAATTGTATCCATTATGGTGCTTTGCAAAATGACTAGCCCTGTAACTGCTTACTGAATGTTAGCAGTAATGATAATCATGTTAATTATTAGTAGTGGTTATATGTTTGGCTTGGCATCAATGCCTCAAATAATATTTTACATTTGGGTGGTTATGTCTCTAAAATGGATATTTATTGCAGCTATCTTGTCAAAATAGGACTTACTTTTTTGTCTTTATTTTGTGAGCTCTATTCTCTCATACCATAAAACTTGGAGCTTTCGTCATACTCTGTGCTCACTTGCCTCTCTTGAACTCTATTCTCGGCTTCTCTGATACTTATCTATTCTTGCATATTGGAGCTTTCTATAACTATCATCAGTCAACAAAAGCAGCTCTTCTGGTTAGCAGGCTCTAAGTTGTCTTTATCCCTTCTGAGGCCCTTTTCTCTGTCAGAAGTCTATATATAGCACAGTTTCTTCTGTTAAACTCCACAAGCCTACATCCATAAAAGTCACTTTAAATTCTAAAAGATATTTTCAAAATACAAAGTCTCTTATTCTTTCAAACACATGCAATTTAACAATCCTTGGATTATGTTTAAAATAATTTTTGGCTAGGCATGGTGGCTTAAACACATGTAATCCCAGCATTTTGGTAGGCTTAGGTAGGAGGATCCCTTGAGACGAGGAGTTCACGACCAACCTGGGTAACATAGTGAGACTTGTCTGTACCAAAAATAATAATAAATACTATTACTACTAACAATTTTTAATCTCTTTTATTTAAAAAGGTGATCTAGCATTTCTAAAGAAATGAGTTTAGGATGGGATAAATTTTGGTTGTTACTGTAAACTGACAGTATATCAGATTTTAAGAAGATTGGGCTGGCTCTTCTGAGGTTGCAGACATGAATAAAACAATATAGATTTTCTGAGATGTTATGTTAGTAAGGGCAAATAGGTCTCAAAGTGATATATGGAAGAGAATGAGAAATTGTTTCTTATTCTTGCTATCATACTTTGAACTCTGCGGTGAAAGATCATTTCAGCAACATAAACTTACCTAAGGATAGCAAAGCTATTCAGTTGTCAGACAATTGTATACTGTGTTTACTACCCTCAGGAAGCACAGGTAGCTTCTGTTTAATATTTTTACCATCATCCTGAATGTCTTTGGTTTCTCATTGACACAGGAATAGCTCATTATTCAGACTTTCAAATGTTATTGAAGAGTTTTTAGGAGAAGGTTGATCCATCATATGGCCACAATGCAGTACACTCAATCTCGGTATGACATAAAAGATGCAATCTTTTATATTGCCTGTGTCTAGAAAGGAAACATTAAGAAAAGCCTAAAGAATATTTTTATTTATTGTCATGCTTATGTAAGTGTCTTTCTCTAGACATGAGGACAGGACAGGAGCTTTGTCTTCATCTTTTTATTCCTAACACCTAACAAAGTGTCTGATGCACATAGTAGATGCTTAGTTAAGGTTTTCGAATAGAAGTAAAGGATCTTAAAGCAATGATTTTAAAGATCTGTGTGTGTGTGTGTGTGTGTGTGTGTGTGTGTGTGTGTGTGTGTGTGTATTTTGGAAAAGGATTACAAAATACATCAGCAAAAATTCTTGAAATAAGGGATGCTCCTTCATATTTTGTTTATAAATTTAATAGAAATAACAGAAATGTGAATTAAAGCCAAAGAGAAATTTGAACCACTGATGAGGCTAAAATAGTTTTTTAAAACATTTGTTCTTTGAAAGCCATAGAACTCTGGTAAAAGTCATGAGGTGATTAAGACATCTTACAGGAAAATTAAATTTATTTCCCTTGCTAGTATACCCCCAAGCCCCCTTAATTTCTGATTCACCCAGTGGTTCTGTCTTTATGGGGAACATTCCATGACCACCCACTAGTTCAGTGATTTACTGGAAGAACTTACAGAATTCAGTATAAAGCTTTACTCATAGCTAACATTACAGAAACTGGTACAGTGCAAAAACAACAGAAAAGAGATACCCATAGGCAAAGAGGTCACAGGCAAACTTCCAAGGTATTTCTCTCTCTTTTACCACAAGAATTACACAAGACATTTTCTTCCAAACTTCAAACCTCAGAGGCACATGTGAGATATCTCTATCCAGGAAAATGTGCTTGAGTCTTAGAGACTGTAGTTCTCAAAGTTAGCTGGTCAAGTAGGCATATTTCTGCCATGTGACCAGCCGTGGCATATACTCAAACCAAGTAACAAGTGTGCATGATGAATCTTAATATTTACTTTAAACATGTTGTCAACCTGGTTCATCTGAACCTACTGTGTCGGGTAAATAGAGTAACATCATTATTCTGTAATCATTCAAGTGGTCTAGGAATTTGTGTTTTTAGAGTTTGATCTAAAAGAATCTAAAAGAATCACTGCCATGGCCATAGAGATCTACGCAAGAACTGAGTAAAACAAAACAGACCTGCTGCGTTAACTCTTTTTTTCCAAGTTGTAAACCTGGGATTCATACTTGACATTTCTTCTCCTTTACTCAACATATCTGTTGGAGACAGAGTTCTGTTGAGTATCCTTAATGTTTCTCAAATGTGTCTCTCTTCTATCCATGATGTTTTTCATGCCTTCCTTTACATTCTTAGATCTCTCACCTGAATTAGTGCATCTTCACTTAACTGGACCAGTTGTTTGTACTTTGTCTTTGCCTCCAACTACTCTCTGTCATCTGTTCTCAGTAGTGCAGCCAGACTGATTTCCCCACTTGATTCTCTTCTACTTTAAATAAAAAAGGAAGAAAGAGGGGGAAGAAGGTTACTTTTGTGTTGAGAAGACATACAAGAGATAAATTACATATGATCCTACTATCAGAGATCACTGTCAAAATTTGGTATATTTCTTGCCACTCTCAAAAGTCTTAGGTCCCAGGAGATGAAATCCAGAGTAATGTAAACTTAAATAAAATATCAGCTCCTCATGATAAGGCAGGAATTTTTCTTTTGTTCATTCATTAATGTGTCCCAACTAGCTAGGAGGGAACCCAACACATCCTAGGCATTCAGTGTGAATACTTATTCAATGAAGAATTAATCAATTTTTAAGACTCAGGACATGATATATTCAAAACCAGGTAAATCATCGTCACCAAAACCTAAAAACCCAATGTTTCTGATAGATTCCAGATGATTCTTTTTATCTTTTTTCACTTTATTAGAACTGAGTTATTGCTAATTTCAAACAATAAATGTCCTCAGTGTTAATAATTCTACAGCTACACATCTGTAAATAAAGATGATACATTTGGGAGGGAGCAGCTCATAGAATAGCCTTGTTATGGTTCCAAGTCTATTCCCCATACCTTCTTGGTAGTATTTACTTCTCATGGAATGTGTGTAAATCTGCCCCCAGCTTCATATGGTTAGGAATTCTTGCATTTTGTTAACATTTGTGAATGAAGGACTAGATTCTTTAATAAAGGCATAGGTTGTGTCTCTGAGGGGAGAGGGTAGAGACTGGTCAGTTTACAGTTACCCCAGTAATGTTTTTGCCCGTTTATCACTCCCACTTTGTACACCTCTTGCCTCCAGGCATTTGTGTTGTAAAGAATGGCTTCACCTCCACTATCATGTTCACTGGTATGTGCACAGAGTACAGGGTCCTTCTTCACAGGTGTACTATATAATGTCATTCCCTTTTTTTCTCACTAAATTATGAGATTCTTTGGATTTTTTCTCTCACTAAATTATGAGGTTATTTTGGATTTTTTCCAAAATCTTCATGCTTTTATCAGTATCTTACATTTTGTATTACTGTAATTTCACTGTGCTTAGGGAGCAAAAGAGAAATAAATATGTATACTTTGATGACATATTGAACTGAAAGTAAACGAATAGTGTATATTGTACCTACTTATATCTACTAGGATATTCGTTTCTTCTCCCCCATAAGCTGCCATCCGTATATTCTAGGTGAACTTTAGATTTGCTTTATCACTGACTTTAAATGCACTTGATTAGGTGTTCATTGTATGAACTTCCACGTACTTTTTGCTGTTTATGATGTCCCTGTATCATGAAGTGAAAGTTAAATTGCTACTTTTAAGATTTCCCCTCAGAAAAAGTTGATAATTTCATTTTTATTGGATTAGTTAAGAGAATTACTTAAAGATATTCTTTTTATTACCTTATCATATTTCTTTACATTAGAATCAAGCTAATTTTTCAGTAGGTGTTCCAAAGATAATTTCATTGCACCTGTGCTGCTCATGTGCAAAAGAGAATGACAATACTGACTCTATTTACTTCACAGGCTATTAGGATCAAATGCTTGTGAAAGTTATACAGGTATCTATAAACAATAATGACATCATCATCAACAACAAAACATTAAGTGTCATACAAAACCTAAGATCCTATCACTATCAAAAATTATTTAACCTTGACCAGTGGCATTCATTAGATATTTTTATATGCTTGATCATAAGATCAGCACATATTTTCAGCCTCCCATTCTTTTGTAATATGGAGCAACTTTTTCTTAAACTGCCAAGGTAAAAATATTTTAGACTTGCAGGACATATGATCTCTACTGCAACTATTCAACTGCTATTGCTGCGTGAAAGAGGCAATAGACAATACGTAAACAAAAAGGCCCAGACGTGTTCCAGCTTTACTTACAAAAACAGGTAGCTGGCCCATGGACTGAGGTTTACCAACTCCTATCCTACAACAATATACTGTCAATACAGAATTCTCTATGTAGAGAAAAATATCTCCAAGTATATAGGCAAAATACATTTCAGACCAAGAGACGACATTCTGTTTTGCTACTGACATAAATGGACAATGAAAGAAATATTAAAAAATTAGTTCAGAAAAAGAAAACTGGTGCTAAAACAAAACAATATGAGTTGTTGGCAAAAAAAATTATGTAATTTGACTAGCTTTCAGAATCTGTTTAACCTAATCTAATTCATTGTGATAATTTTCAGACTAAATAAACTTGAAGATACTATTACACTAATTAAAGGAAAGATCGAAGAAGTTCATCTTCCTGTAGAAAAAGTGGATGTTATTATATCTGAGTGGATGGTGAGTGTTTACAGAAAAAAACTACTTTCACTGGTAAAATGAAAAAATATTTTTTTAAGTAATGAATAAGATAATAGTTTTCCTGAATTTAATTATATTTGATACATGGCAGAATGGTGACATTATTTTTTAAATAGCTACATTAGATGCTATAATGTGTAATTTTAAAAAACAGCTACAGTCTTCTTATGGTAGTGTATTCTGAAATGGTGCTTATTTATTGGCTATTCATAATTTTTAAAAAGTGATAAATTATCTTTTTTACCTTAAAAATCATAATAAATTATTTTTCTACTCTATTACAATAATAAAAGTATTAAGATGCTAAATACATAATTAATCAGAGTTTATTATTATTTTTTGTTTGGTTTTAGATGCCTAAGTGTTTGCAGAAAAGTTTTAAATACCTAAGTGTTTCCCAAAAGCCTCCAAGGGCTAATAAGGACTTATTAGGACTGTTTCATCAAAATTAACATGCTGTTGCCACTATTATCATACTGAATGTCCTATCTTTCTAATCTATTGGGCCATGTAATCAGTGTCTGTTATCACATAAAACAGAATTTATTGCTGTTATTAAAATACTAAAAGGAAGGTATATTACGTAGCTTTATAATTTGCTGTTAAAATCTCGAGTCAAGACAAAATATTTATTTTTAAATATATGGGAAAATAAAATTAATGGAGGCTGGGTATGGTAGCTCACACCTGTAATCCCAGCACTTTGGCAGGCTGAGGCAGGTGGGTCGCTTGAGATCAGGAGCTCAAGACCAGCCTGGACAACATGATGAAAGCCCATCTCTACTAAAAATACAAAAATTAGCTGGATATGGTGGCAGGCACCTGTAATCTTAGCTACTCGGAGGCTGAGGGAGGAGAATGGTTTGAACCCAGGAGGTGGAGGTTGCAGTGAGCCAAGATCACACCACTGCACTCCAGCCTGGGTGACAGAGTGAGGCCCAGTCTCAAACAAACAAAAATTAATGGTATTTGACAGCTGAATTCATTTATTGATATGTCAATTTGACAGAAATAAACTAGATAGCATTTCTAATAAAGATTTTTAAATTATTTTGAAATAATTTTTTTCTTAATGTTCTATTTGGTAGATATATTTTCATGAAATAAGTTTATCAAAAAAATTGAAAATGAATTTTGCTTTATAATTTTTTTAATACATTTTGAATGAATAGTTATAATCCTAGCAAAATAGAAATTTCAAGGAACTTTTGGAGTATTCAAATTTAATGCAGTAGCATAGGGAGTTTCAGTCTAGAGCTGATGACAGCCACAATTGTTGACAGCTACTATTTTGTATGTGAAACAGTATGTTGTTTTTTTAATGCTAAGATTCACTTTATACAATCTTTAGTCATATCAGTATTCTCACACCAAACAATTTGTATCAGGACTCTGATTTCTCATTAATTGAAGTACTAGATATGAATTAAAAATTTAACATTTCTTTAAAGACTATGAAAAGATGCTTCTGAGAAAGCACATTTGAGGCATATATAACAAGAATTTTAAATAGTTTATGCCAAATATTTTACTTTTCTTGGAAAATGCATCTTTTAAATTACTCCAACATAGATTTTATAGGCAAACTAAAAGAAAGACTTGTCTAAACTTTCTGTTACCTCAGTTGAACATAATTACATATCTGATTACAATAACTAATGGGATAGTTCTTGCTCTGCCTAGCAGAATTATAGTTCTGGATATTGATGTTCTAGGATTTTTCACTTCTAAATCTGAAAGATGATCTAGAATTATTAATATGCAGTTGATGTCTTAGATCCAGCTGGTATAATAACTGCAATTAGCTGAATTGAATGAATTCATGAGATTGTCTTTATAATGTGAACTTTATTGAAAGTTGTACTGGTCTTGGGCTTGTTTGCCCTCAAATCTCTTTTGTACCCTTCTGCTTTCTTCTGTACTAAGGAGGGCTAACCCCAAAGGCTGCCTTTCCCAGGCTCCAATGATGGCTGACTTCTACTGAGTTTGGAGAACCCAAAAGGAAACACTGGAAACTCTAAATATCCCAAGATTCAAGAAAAGGAGAAGCCAGGGCATTTCTTCCCTTCTTACTTTATCTCTAGTGTGTTACTGACAAAAGCTGTTTCTTTTGTGGTTCCAATTCGCACTGGACAGGCATGCTGTAATTCCAGCATCCACTGTGTAACCCCAGCCCTGGGTTCTTGTAGCAGTAGCCTAGGAATGCCAGCTACTTCTGGGCATTACTAAAGTCTGGTTGTGTCACTGTCTTCTTGATGACTTCTCATATCTTTTATCCTCTGTCTAAGTGACTTTTGACATTATTTTCCTCTATTTTAAATAGCTTGTGTGGTTTCTCTTTTTTTAGTTTGTATTCGTAACTCAGCAGTCCCCAGACTTCTTGGCAACAGGCACCAGTTTCATGGAAGACAGTTTTCCCATGGATTGGGGGGTGGGGATGGGATGGATTTGGAATAAAACTGTTCTATCTCACATCATTAGATTCTCATAAGGAGCATGTAGCCTAGATCCCTCGCATGCGCAGTTCCAACAGGGTTCACGCTCCTTTGAGAACCTGATACCACTGCTGATCTGACAGGAGGCGGAGCTCAGGTGGTAATGCTTGCCTGCCATTCACCTCCTGCTGTGCGGCCCAGTTCCTAACAGGCCACGGACCAGTACCTGTCCATGGCCTGGGGTCTGGGGACCCCTCATAGTACTGAAATAAGGAGCACCTTTCAATTTAGAGCATTGGTCGGGTAAGACCTCTGCCTTTTATCAGGAAGCCAGTCACTGGAGCCTGAGATGCAAGGAGCCAGTTGTTTGGAAGCCAAGGTGCTTGGAAGCCCTGAAGTAATGAAAAACAAAACAGTGTGTCCAGGAAGTGATAAATAAGAACTTTTCTTCTTCCTCACCACAAAGGTGTAACTTAAGCATTTGCATTATCACACTGTCTGCCTTTCCTTGTTTTAAGTGAGTTGAAGTCTAGCAATTGTTTTAAGTGCTCTAGGTGGGACATTGGACACTGTAACTTAACAGCAGTTATTCTATGGCAGTCAGCTCTGTATGGCCTTATTTCTCTAATAAAATTTGCATTTAAGGCGCTAAGAAGGCTTGTGCTAAATTATTTTTAATCATCTTTGTAGACTGGAAATAACATTTATGGTATCTTCTTAATCCTATAAGTCCCTAACTTTATTTGGTACTTTCATTAGGATTTTTGATTTGAGAAGCTGGAAAACATTAGTTACATAATTAAACAAGGGGCAGGTATGCTTTCTAAAATTTATTCTCCACATTTCAGTCACATTGGCTGAAATAGTAGGCAAATGGTAAACAACTATTTTAAATCTATAGCCACAGTTTCATGAGCCAGCATTTTAAACTTAAATTTCACAGACTCCTGTCTTTATTTATTTATCTTTTTTTACATACAACATAATAAGGATGCAAAAATCTAGAATGAACCGTCGTTAAGCATTTTTTTCTCTCTTTTTACAAGTATTTCCAACAAGGAAAGACAAAAATGGAATATACTCCAGAATTGGGCACAGATGTTTAATGGACGTGTAATCCATTATAGCAGTGTAGGCATCCTATATTGCAGGGATGTACATCTGTTTTCTTCTTCTGTGGTCCACTAACTATTCCATGGCTTAATCTAAATATGATTTTTGTCTGCACTGTTCATGGATTTTTGTCTTTATTTTGAAGGATTTTTCTGGATAAGAATAACTATAGTCCTCATGCTGTATATTTTTATCAGATGGAATTTCTGTTTGACAAAATTGTTTCAGTTAAATGTAAACAGTTTAATCCCTGGAAGACGTTAATACATATGTCTTTATGTATGTGTCCCCATTTTTTCCATTTTAGTCTACCAATAGAAGTTCTTGTTTTGAGAGCTGTTCTTTATGGCTTCTTATTTCTGACTGCTTAATAAAACTGTTCAAAATAACCATCCCTAATTCCGACCCAGTAAGCAAAATTGACTCATTTGGTATTGCTGTACCTCCTCTGTGTTTTCAGCATGACTTTGCAAGAACATAGACTAAATCCACGAGGCTTAGCATTAGTAAATGATGACAGAATGTGAATTTTAAGGGAATGTTCCCTGGCAGAAATTTGCTGGCCACAGACATTTATAATTTTATGTACAGCACATGAAGGCACGGAAGTAGAATACGACAGGGTTAAGAATGTTGCTCCAAAGGCAAACTGCCTCCATTCTTGGGCATGTTACCTCTCTGTGCCTCGATTTCCTTCTCTATAAAATAAAAATAATAGCATTACCTACTTCATAAGATTTTTGTGAGGATTAAATGAGTTAATACATGTAAATTTCTTAGAACAGTTTCTGACACATAAGATCTCAATAATTAGCTATTCAGTTTCGAAAGTTATACAAACTTTTAAGAACTCTAACTCACGAGAGCTACTACACTAATTCAATAAATAACAGATGAAAATAATCATTTACATGAAGTAAAGAATATTAATTCTTGGAGGAAGAACATTCTTAGGGCTTCTTCCTTTCTTACAGTCCCTTGTAAAAGCAGAAGACTTTCTGTTTCTATGACTAGCATTTACTAATTGACTGTCCATGGTTGGTGTGCAGAAGTATGAAAATTAGCTGATGAATGTGAGTTATTGGGATTTGGGGTATTGAACAGGGAGATATAGTACTTGAACAATGAAAGATAAATTGTGGTTTGTATTTTTTCATATATATGCTAACATCTGAATCAAGAATAAAATGAAAGCAAAGAGACTAGAAATCTAAAAAATAGGTCCTTTGTGTATAATTATTTCGGTCTTATAATCTTTTGTTCTTGTCTATGCTCTTAACCACTTCCTAGCCTTTCTTTTCCTCAGTCTTCAATAAGTTATAAAGTATTATAATTATGAAGATTAAAAGGTTAAGTTATTCAGGAACATGAATCAACTGCCCTTACAAAAATTTTTCAGGTAAGCCCTCAGAGAACACAAAATATTGGTTA